GAGAATAACGAACCTTCAGGACAAAAACTACTTACTGACAGAAACAGATCCGGCATACATGTTCGAAAAGGAAGAGTACCTGTTCCACATGATCAACATAACAGCAATACTAAAGCCACATTAGCCTTAGAAGCACAAAATCATCAAGACGTAACTGACGAAACATTATTATACCGCATAGAGATTCTTAGAAATCAGTTGCTAGCCACCGACCGCCGCAGAAGGTCAATAGATACCTTAAGCTCAATACTAAAATTTATTAAACGGTTTAATAAACMATAATAATTTACAAAGGAAAATTAATTCAAACTTTGAAACTTTAATGCAAAAATTTAATAATAAAACCTTAAAACATCAGACATTACTCCAAGAAATTCAGAACTATTAGATTTGACCACTACAATAAACTTTACTAAAAACGGAGATTTTTACATTGTTGCAATTAATATAGAAGAAATCAAAAGAATAATTAAAACTGAACAACAAAATGTACCAGTTATAAATATCCTAGAAAAAAAATTCATATACTAAGATTAYAAGATACATTCATAGTAGTATACAAATATCCAATAATAAATAAAATTTGCCAAACATTTAAAATCACTCCATTAATTTAAAAACAAGGAAAACTTCAATTAGATGAACTAATTACAAAATGTAAAAATACTTATACCCCAGTATCAAACTGTAAAAATAATTTAAGCAAATATATATGTAAGCAAAAGAATAGAGACCATTGTACTATCCCTATACTTTTAAACCAAGAAGCCCATTGTAACATAGTCCAGGAAAAGAATTATCCTGTAATAAATTTAAGTCATGGGAATATTGTAATTGATGGAATACATAAAGTCAATAACGACACTGTCAAAAGATCGAACTTAGTACAATTCAACATTTCAGTATTAATAGATTCAGAATATTATCATAATCAGGATTAAGAAATAAAAGAACTTATMGAATCACAAGGATCCGAAAAAATCCATGTGTTAGAAATACTTGCGTCCCAATTGTCTAAATGAGCTTCAGTCCCCTGCCCCATACAACATATAACCAACACCGATGCGGGATTATTGCTATGGTTAGGTAGCAATAATCCCGCATCCAGAACACTCTACACTCAACGCATTAAAACATGCGTCACTAGCACGCTTCATTCACCACACTCATCTCTACACCACCTACAATCCACATCACACATAATTACACCAGAGAACTTAAAACATAGAGAAGGTGCAAATTGAATTCTGTATGATGTTCGATTGGACGGCTAACAGAACTTATAAGATTGTGATAGGAAATTCACCATTCTCGCTGCTATTTAGCAGAATTGAGCACGACTGAATTCATGCGAGAATGAATAAAGAGAAATGCTTTGAAGAAAAATATACAAAGTAAAGAAGCATTCTCTGCGTCACGTATGCATGATTATTTTGTATCATATGAACCATTTTTTTCAGATAAATGGTAAAAATGTTAATTTTTTTACAAAATCGTGAAAAATTAAATAAAAAATAATTTGATTTTATTTTTTAATTTTTAAATTATTTAAAAAAAGTTATAATTCCTGTCTCTTATACACATCTAGATGTGTATAAGAGACAGGTACTGAAATGTGCTCATATAAGCACGTCATTCCTTTCATTTCTTAAAAAAAAAACTTAATTACCTTGACATATGCATATTCCCATTATCTCTATATAATATCCACATTCTTATCAATTCTATGGCATACGCATGCAAGCTATAGAAGCGTAATACATATGTACATATGTATGTAGATACTTACAACTATTCATACGCCTGCGAAAAAATTAGAGCTAAGTCGCTAAAAACACAAAGCACAAAACATCAAATGTATATGTACACATGTGCATACATAGTACATATGTGCACCAGGGAATCCCTTGTCTATCACAACCACACCAACATAAATATGACTTMAGCCAAACAAAGAAACACGTGTATGTGTATGTGACTACAAAAAGTTTTAAAATATGAATGAAGCAAAAACAGCAACAACATACGTATCAACACATCTTCCCGCACAAGCGTCGCTGCCCATAACTATTTCTCATCACGATGGCAAAACTGCTTAGAAAATCAACAAAAATGACAAAAGAATGAAAAATTCTTATTTTTCATTTTATTCTCATGGAAGAATAAAAGCCGAAAATTAAAAATAAATTCTGTTCAGATTCGAACCCGTATACTCATCTTGACTTTTCAAGCGCTTACCACCAACACCACTATTGACACTTGTATTGCGTTGTCCCAATTATGGTTTGGTTATGCATGATAGAAATATACGATGGTTCAAATAATTTTGTTTGAGTATAGAAATATTCTTTTGTAGAACATTTGCTCTCGCAAACATACAGACAAATGTGCAAACGACATAATATATGTATGATTGCATTTTGCTTCTACGTCGGTCAAATTTCTATACTGAAATGCGTGATAAAATAAAATAGACTATGAGGGCAATTAATTTTTAAAATTTTATTGAAAATTAAATAAAACTGAAAAATCATGTAAATTTATTTCAATTAATTAAAGAACTGCAATGAAAAATAAAAAGAAAATTCATTTTATTAGAAATATATCTACAAATATCTTAGTCGACATATAATTGATGTTTAAAGCCATTACTTTCTCCTTTTCATCGTAGGAGTTTTTTTTCTTCAAAATCATCTTTGCGAATRTTATCGCATGTTCATTTGCATCGCCTGTTATTATGACGTTTTTTTCCAGAGCTTGAAATTTTTTTG